GTGTCCTGGAGTGTTGACGCTGTGTTATATGTTGTCCTGGTGTGTTGACGCTGTGTTATATTGTGTCCTGGTGTTTTGACGGTAAGTTATATTTTGTCGAGGTTGAAATCGACAGGACCAAATGAAATATTCGATTTATCCGATGGTTCGACTTATCCATGTTTTGATGAACAGAGACATTGTGCATCATTCATCGGTTGTTTACCGGATATGTATCTCATAGCATGGCTTGAAAGTAATTAATAAGTAATAGATAAATAGTTTTAAAAAAAATCATATTTTTCGGATTTTGAATCCAGATATATAATGTTCGTTCACAAAATAAAAATGGTCACATACGCTTGAAGAAATGGTTGCAGCCATATTTTTTTTCGTTTCAGATCAACTGTCCAACTATTTGTCTTTTTTTATTAAAACAAAAACACAAATTCGAACTACAAACAACGACATTAACTTATCCAAGCTTTGGTAAAGAAATTGACAAGATATATCACTAAAGGAGTTTAAATTAGAAATGAAACCGACAAACCAGCAGCTGTGGGGTCAGAGAGGTCGTTACCATAGCCTTGTAAAACATTATCAGATATTTCATTTTCACAGATCACGTGAGATGTCGCAAAAGGATGTCGATCAAATGCAAAGGTCAAAGGTGAAATATCAGTCAGGCACACAGCAAGGATCGAGTGTTTTTGGTTTTTTTTAAATAATAGATAAAAAAACTTGAATATGAATGGAAGACGAATCATCTATGAAATGAAGATGAGAAACAAATACAAGTTCCACGGAATGTCATTATCTGTAGGTGGTCATTTTAGTACAGTCACGTGATCGGGATATATACTTCGTGGAATTCCGCCGTGTCCCTTCTGTAAGGCGAACTAAATTGATTCTAATTGGATATCAGATAAGTTTTCATCATTTAATACGTTTTATTGGAGATAGATTTCTGGAACATCTGTGAAACTTAAATGTCCGTGTAATTATTATAATTTATTAATAAAACCCACTCTTCGGTCTAGGCTCTATAACCAAACCAAGATCCCCTAACCGACAGGCCAGGAAGCTTCTTCCGTTTCCACTCTCGTTCCTTCCGTCACCATCAAACACTTCAGAAAATAGGCAACTGGCTTTATGGCAACAAAAATATGAGCATACATATAAAACGGTCTGCCTGAGTCAGCATTTTTTTTTATCTCGTGCAAGTCTTACAGCGATGTATGGTTTATAATACCGAGGAGATAAGTAAACTAGCGAGGTTCATAATTGTATAAAGATGGATTGGATTTATACATCTAGAGAGATGAAACTCGCGAGGTTCACAGTCATATGAAGATGGACGAGATTTTTATATATTTGGAGAGACAGATGAAACTAGTATTTTTTTTAGTATACTTGATTAGCTATGTGCCATTAGTAAGATAAATATGTTAAGATTCCTACAAAAAGGCACTGTCAATCAATTACGAGATAAAAGCATAACTGCTAAATCTAACGTATTTAAATCCTTTTCCCCATTTTCTATTTACATTCGTGAGGAAAAAGTTTGGCTTGCCGAGGTTACAACTTTATGTTTTCGTTAACGTGAAGTTATCTCCCTCAATAAAGCTTATCTACCGTAATTTATATAATTTTGTCTCGTTTTCCCTATATGTGATCCCCGATGTACCCAAGTTACTTACAATATACAACAAACGTGTCCAGATCAAGGTTATATGTTGCATTAAATGTGATAATGATTAAGTAGGAGTGATCTCCCTTGATAATTTCAATTCTCACTTTAGTTGCAGTGCTAGATTAAATGTGATCTTCGAAACTGCAGAAGGTAGATATTCATGGTTGGCTTTAGTTCTGTAGATTTGCCTGTGTGCCACGTTTGATTAGTTCGAATAGTGGCACGGTTCAGAATATCAGCGTCGCCAGCTTCTTTTCCGAATATCTTGTGCTGGCCTTGACAATCAAGGTCACAAGCTGTTTTAATAATTTCAATTAATACAAATTCTGTGGTATAATTATCACATCTGTATGTATTAAGATGGTGTTTTATGTTCTGTTTAAACATAATTTTCGACTATATCTGATCCAAAAAATCAATTTGAAACTTTTAAATACAGATCAAAACAAAAAGATATCGGGAGATTATATCATTTTTCACGATATGAGCACGTGACAAAAATCAGACGGAAAGACGACACTGGAATATACACGAGGTTTTGGCTTCCTTTTGTAATTACCATTATCATGTGCAGATTACGGAATTGGATTAGTCACTGAATGAAATTTTGACCATTCTTTCGGTGTAGCAACACTAACGATTCATAGAAGGACGAAACACCAGTATGATTCCGCGTCATTATCAGTGACATTACAAACACGATGTCCTGTGTTGTTAGTAACCCAAATATACATCCGATCTATAAATAACATTACTAACAGGATGTTTTCTCATTATTAGTAACACACGTATGTCTAGGACACTTCTCACTATTAGTAACACACGTATGTCTAGCACACTTCTCACTATTAGTAACACACGTATGCCTAGCACCCTTCTCACTATCAGTAACACACGTATGCCTAGCACCCTTCTCACTGTTAGTAACACACGTATGCCTAGCACACTTCTCACTATCAGTAACACACGTATGTCTAGCACACTTCTCACTATTAGTAACACACGTATGTCTAGCACACTTCTCACTATTAGCAACACACGTATGTCTAGCACACTTCTCACTATTAGTAACACACGTATGTCTAACACACTTCTCACTATTGGTAACACACGTATGTCTAGCACCCTTCTCACTATTCGTAACACAAGTATGCCTAGCACACTTCTCACTATTGGTAACACAAGTATGCCTAGCACACTTCTCACTGTTAGTAACACAAGTATGTCTAGCACCCTTCTCACTATTAGTAACACACGTATGCCTAGCACTTTTCTCACTATTAGTAACACAAGTATGTCTAGCACATTTCTCACTATTAGTAACACACGTATGTCAGCACACTTCCCACTATTAGTAACACAAGTATGTCTAACACACTTCTCACTATTAGTAACACACGTATGTCTAGGACACTTCTCACTATTAGTAACACAAGTATGTCAGCACACTTCCCACTATTAGTAACACAAGTATGTCTAACACACTTCTCACATTAGTAACACAAGTATGTCAGCACACTTCCCACTATTAGTAACACAAGTATGTCTAGCACACTTGCCTGAGTAGTTGGTATCATTTATATAAAGTCGAACCTTGTTATCTCGAACTCTTTGGGAAAACTTTGCGATAACAGCGTATTCGATTTAAGTAAGTTCGAATGTTTTGTATATAGTTAGGTAGGTACCGACGAAATGCTTCGAATTTCATGGGGTCTTCGAGTTATACGAGTTCGAGATGCAGAAATTTACTTTATTTTGAAACAGGCATATAGATAATTAATCCATATAGCTCCAAAATAAAGTACTATGAGACGTTAAACGAGACGAGCTATGTAAACTGAATCGAAATACATCACTCCGTTTTAAATAATCAGAGATGTTAGAGATCAATTTACTCGTATTTATGTAGTCTTTATGACGGTAGAGTCGCCCCATATTGGTTTTTTATGGTAACTCTAATTGACTGTACAAGTGTTCCCGTTTAAATACTCGTATCTCACGCTAATGTAGGTATCACGCACATATGTCACAGATGATTCCTAAACCCAGTCCCTTTATGATGGCAAATTTGATTAGATCCGTATAATTACTCCCAACCATTTGGTAATGTTAACATTGAGTACTGCCGTTGTTCTCATACGAATTTCTTGAGTTTTGCTGAAATAGCAAAAATATCTCTGCAGTAACATGCACAGGAGTAAACATGTCTGATGCATGCACTATCAGTTTCAAAATCAAAGAACTGAACCTGTTTGAGTTTTAAAAGCAGATATCTTAGATTTCATGTGTTGTGTATGTTACAGGTATCATAACGATATCTAGATTAGTTTTTTTTCACAAACGTGTGTGTGTGTGTGTGTGTGTGTGTGTGCGCGCGAGGGTAATGGAGTAAGGGAGATAACTCAATAAAAGACAACTAGCATAAACGTATAGATTCCTTGTGGTTAGTGGTATATCAGTGCTCGTTACAGACACAGAACACATTTCATTTTTTTTACTTCAGTTAGAAACTTTATAGCAAAGTGTAAATACATAATACAGGAACAATATAGAACCATCTATATATATAAGAATTCTGATCCGTATCTTAAATACGAGATATTAGGTTCAGTCTGAAAGTTTACGACCGGCGTGTTTTCTTATCTGAGTTCCAGCATTTAAAAAAAAACAATACTTGGTAGACCGTTTGACATATGTTTGAATCTATACGTTGATAGGTATAGTTTGATGTATACACATGTGTCAGTACTGAGATGTGCATGCCGTTCTTTTGGCATTTTTGGTTTTTTCTTCTTTTGTAATAATGCTGTACTTTTAGTCATATACTTTAGTCTTGACTTCGCGTGGTGCATATTACATGAGGTTTTTGGTGTTAAGCATCTTGATTTACGAAAAAAAAAATCAACGATGGCCATTACTGCATATCGGGAATTTTTAGAGGGTATCGAATTTTTGCTAATTTAACGACCATTTCGAAATCACAAAAAATCGAAATCGCAAAAGTTGCATGTCTTCTTCTTTCTATTGCAAATGCGTGTGTAATACATCTATTAAAGTGATGTGCCTACATCTGACTGAACATTCTCTAGCCTTAAACACTTCTATAATAAAAAAAATTAACTGGTGGGCAGGTAAATCTTGTATCTAGTACGACGCTCTGTTAGATCTCCAAATCTCCAATTGATATTAGAATCTACACTAATATCCAAAATTTACAAAGTCTTCAAACTTCTTAGACAACGAAGTCGCAAGCAAACATTTCCTTATATGCAGTAATTTCAGACGAAACTTCTTCGTTTTCTTAACACTTTTTTTCTGTAATTTCCAGGTGCACCATGGCGACGTTACGCTGGTTGTCATGGCTACTAATGATATGCGTTACGATTCGGCACGTGATCTGTTTGGAAGGTAAGATTTACAATTTCTCCGTATCTTATCTCAGACCTCATACATACTGTGACTATCACACACGATATGTGTCTGTGTTGGTTCCTCCTTGTTTAGATAAGCCATCCCTATTGAAGTTCAATAAAGTAAATTTCTATTCAAAATCTAAATTGATGTACAAAAAACAGGATCATGTGTATAGTGGTTTTTTTTTTACATTTCGATTATTTGATTTTTGCGGTTGAAGCAACAATTGAAATATAAAAAATGTATAATCCAAACATATACCAACCTCCAAAATGATTTTCAAAAAATGGAACCAGCCTCCACAGTATATTCAACAATATATTTTTGACCTTTGAACTATTTGGAATGTATGTTTTAGTTATATAAGTTGTTTTACATGAATGATTTCTCATTAAAGAAGAATTGAAATTGGATTTCTTTTATGTATGTATCAAACATCATTTCTAGAAATAGAATTTTTAATTGAGGAAATACACTGGAGGGTTGAGGAAAATCGTTATTTCCTGGCGACGGAAAAAATGAAAAAGCAGTCATGAGATATTAAGGCATGTAATCTATTGTGTTTATTATATCTCTGGATAACTGATCGGTATGATTATCGGACAGACGTATATACGTGTATTAGATGGAAAGATGTATGGCGTATAACCACGTGATTGGACCTACATGTACACATGTAAATGTGACAAAAAAATAACACGTGGAAACGATTTTTTATCACGAATTAGGAAAGAGAATTTCATGGAGAGTTACCCGAACGCAAATTATTAGAAAACAAATCTTGGCTATGTGTCATGTTTTATATTTATAGATCGTCAAAGTTGTTGTGTTAAGTATCATACACTTAAACATGCACGGTTTGAAATCGACCGAAATGGGCCTAATTGGTTCACCGGCATGGTAAAGCGCCATACTTCTTTATGATATCATAAAAAAGTCTCATTCTAATGCTATACGTACTACATGTGATTCGTTAGTTTTTTTTCACGTTTGTTCCTTGATGTCCTTTATTATCAGTCAATATGTTCCTGTAAAACTCATTAACTAAAAATAATTAACAAAGTCTAAAAAAAATACGCATGCGCAGTCATCACTTTATTAAAACCTAATAACTCAGATATAATACAAGACGTGTTTTTCGCATTTGCCAGTGAACATGTGTGTATCGCTTAGTGTTGTGATTTATATATGACTCCACGTCTTAAGTATGGTACTATACAAACTTATGTTTACTTGATTGTGACATCATGCTAACCACGCCTTATAGAATGCAACCCTCCCCCGCCCCGAGTCTATTATCGAACTGCTTCATCAACCATGGGCATGCGCAGTTTTCCAGTCTCATATGTTGTATTACCGTAATGGACACCACGATTTTTAAGTAAAAAATATGATGCGTTATAATTAGCGGCACATTCATTCTGTGATAGACCTTCTCTTGACAATCACTGACGGGAAACTTTGGGTTCGTGCGTAGATGTTGGGAGTACAGATCGCCTGACTAGACTAAGATGGTAGGAATTTGCCTTTAGTCCCTAACAACCTAGACATCCGTGATAGGAATTGCCGTTAGTCCCTAACAACCTACAATATCCATGGTAGGAATTTGTCTTTAGCCGTAAACATCCTACTATATCCATGGTAGGAATTTGCATTTAGTCCCTAACATCCTAGACATCCATGACAGGAACTTGTCTTTAGTCCCTTACAACCTACAATATCCATGGTAGGATTTAGCCTTTAGTCCCTAACAACCTTTGATATCCATGGTAGGAATTTGCCTTAAGTCCCTAACAACCTACGATATCCATGGTAGGAATTTGTCTTTAGTCGTAAACAGCCTTCGATATCCATGGTAGCAATTTGCCTTTAGTCCCTAACAACCTACACATCCATGGTAGGAATTTGCCTTAAGTCCCTAACAACCTACGATATCCATGGTAGGAATTTGTCTTTAGTCGTAACCAGCCTTCGATATCCATGGTAGCAATTTGCCTTTAGTCCCTAACAACCTAGACATCCATGGTAGGAATTTGTCTTTAGTCCCTAACAACCTACGACATCCATGGTAGGAATTTGCCTTTAGTCCCTAACAACCTAGACATCCATGGTAGGAATTTGTCTTTAGTCGTAAACAGCCTTCGATATCCATGGTAGCAATTTGCCTTTAGTCCCTAACAACCTACACATCCATGGTAGGAATTTGTCTTTAGTCCCTAACAATCTACAATATCCACGGAAGGAATTTGCCTTTAGTCCCTAACATCCGACAATATCCTTGGTAGAAATTTGCCTTTAGTTCCTATCAACCTACAATATCCATGGTAGGATTTAGCCTTTAGTCCCTAACAACCTAGACATTCGTGGTTGAAATTTGCCTTCAGTCCCTACCAACGTAGACATCCATGGTAGGATTTAGCCTTTAGTCACTAACAACCTAGACATCAATGGTAGGAATTTACCTTCAGTCCCTACCAACCTAGACATCAATGGTAGGAATTTGCCTTCAGTCCCTAACAACCTAGACATCCATGGTAGGAATTTGCCTTTAGTCCCTAACAACCTACCATATCCATGGTAGGAATTTGTCTTTAGTCGTAAACAGCCTTCGATATCCATGGTAGCAATTTGCCTTTAGTCCCTAACAACCTAGACATCCATGGTAGGAATTTGCATTTTGTCCCTATCACCCTTCGATTTCAATGGTAGGAATTTGCCTTTAGTCCCTAACAACCTATACATCCATGGTAGGAATTTGCCTTTAGTCCCTAACAACCTAGACATCCACGGTAGGAATTTGCCTTTAGTCCCTAACAACCTTCGATTTCCATGGTAGGAATTTGCCTTTAGTCCCTAACAACCTAGACATCCATGGTAGGAATTTGTCTTTAGTCCCTAACAACCTAGACATCCGTGGTGGGAATTTGTCTCTAGTCCCTAACAACCTTCGACATCCATGGTAGGAATTTGCCTTTAGTCCCTTTCAACCTACGACATCCATGGTAGGAATTTGTCTTTAGTCCCTAAACAGCCTTCGATATCCATGGTAGCAATTTGCCTTTAGTCCCTAACAACCTACACATCCATGGTAGGAATTTGCATTTAGTCCCTAAACATTTCAATGGTAGGAATTTGCCTTTAGTCCCTAACAACCTATACATCCACGGTAGGAATTTGCCTTTAGTCCCTAACAACCTAGACATCCGTGGTGGGAATTTGTCTCTAGTCCCTAACAACCTTCGACATCCGTGGTAGGAATTTGCCTTTAGTCCCTAACAACCTAGATATCCATGGTAGGAATTTGTCTCTAGTCCCTAACAACCTTCGACATCCATGGTAGGAATTTGCCTTTAGTCCCTTTCAACCTACGATATCCATGGTAGGAATTTGTCTTTAGTCGTAAACAGCCTTCGATATCCATGGTAGCAATTTGCCTTTAGTCCCTAACAACCTACACATCCATGGTAGGAATTTGCATTTTGTCCCTAACAACCTACGACATCCGTGGTAGGAATTTGTCTCAAGTCCCTAACAACCTTCGACATCTGTGGTAGGAATTTGCCTTTAGTCCCTAACAACCTAGACATCCATGGTAAACAGCCTTCGATATCCATGGTAGCAATTTGCCTTTAGTCCCTAACAACCTAGACATCCATGGTAGGAATTTGCATTTTGTCCCTAACTACCTACGACATCCGTGGTAGGAATTTGTCTTTAGTCGTAAACAGCCTTCGATATCCATGGTAGCAATTTGCCTTTAGTCCCTAACAACCTTCGACAACCATGGTAGGAATTTGCCTTCAGTCCCTAACAACCTACGACATCCATAGTAGGAATTTGCCTTTAGTCCCTAACAACCTACGACATCCATGGTAGGAATTTGCCTTTAGTCCCTAACAACCTACGACATCCATGATAGGAATTTGCCTTTAGTCCCTAACAACCTACGACATCCATCGCTATATTCTTGTTTATACATTATTGAAATAATTTTTAAACCACTATTCCTTGTGCAATGTTGTTCTAGACCATCTCATTGATGCCACTCCTGAAAACCATGTTTCAAAATTTATTTATATAAACGTATTACATCATTCGACCTAAGACGTTTAATATTTTCTTTTTAATACAAAAACTACAAATGACATTATAAAAAAAAAACATCATTTAGTACTAAAATTAGATTACTATTAAAATCTGTACATTTGAAGAGTATTTAGCACTAAAATTAGTTCAGCGCTAAAATCTATCTAGAATGAAATAGGGAAATTTCTCAAAAAAAATTCAATCCTGTTAAGTTGTCTTATACTGATGTTGAACACACTTCTCATTTAGTATTTCCCGGTTGTATAAACATGTTATATTGACAACATGCTGTCAGAATTTTTCTATCTTATTTCCATAATTATCGAACTTTCAACTGTCTCTTGTTTGCAGCCTTACATTTCATTTGTACATCAGGAGAAACATATTGTGGGTGTTAGTACTAATTACCTGCATGTAGATGTTTCACTAACCCGGTGCTTAAGGCACAGAGACAAATCGCTGCCATAGAATATGTATTCAGAAACTACGTCCATGTCCTAGATAATTCTTTGAAAATAGTAATATTTCCTTTGTATCTAGATTTCGTTGATACAAATGTCGATTTTGGAAATTGTTTCCACACAATATACCGTTTACCTTATGAATTATTGACGCAGGTTCATGCATTAAGAATCTTACATGCCGCATGGCGACACCTAGCGGGAAATAACGTATATAGCCCTCCACATGGCGACTTTTGCCGATAATGAATTTATATGACCCCGGCATGGCGACACCTTGCGACGAACAATTTACATGACATTCGCATGGCGACACCTAGCGGCAAACATTGCACTTTGCCTCGGCATGGCGACATCTAGAAAGGGAAATAATTCGGCATGGCTTACCAGATGGCGAGATCCGAAACTAAAGAGAGAGCGTAAAAGAAAAGTGCTGAGCTTTACATGCACCTCTGCAACAAATGCGCAGAATGGACAAATAAGTATCTTCAACGCGAGCACAGCATTGCGCTTAAACAACCAAGCCAGGACCTTCATAAGCATTGCATGGTTTGCAAGGTATGAACTTAGCAGTGTCAGACATGCTAACTTGTCAAGTATCTATAACATCGAAACCTTTACAATATCATCGTTTAATCCTAATACAGGAAGACATTCTTACTTTCAGTTGACCTTTCACAACCTTTGGATTTAGTGTTTTTGGTTGATTCATCAGAAAGCATAACGGGATCTAACTTTAATAAAATTCTCCGATTTATGGCGGAAGTTGTCGAAGATGCTTCGGTAGATTCCGGTGACGTTCGCGTTGCTGTGGTAACGTTTGGTGATACTACTGTGATACGTTTTGGACTTGATGAAGTCAGTAACAAAGAGGAGCTTTTAGAATTTGTTCAGGAAACAACATTTGACACTGGAAATACATTTATAGCAGACGCACTACTTGCAGTGCGGACTAAGGTGTTCAATACCGAAGGTGATAGGCCGGAAGCTCGCAATGTTTTGTTAATAATTACTGACGGCGTATATGACTTGGAATCTTCGAGAGCGATGAGGGAAGCGGAAACAAGCAAAGACCAAGGCATTGATATATATGCCATTGGAATCGGACTGTTTGATGTGCGACAACTCGATAGGCTTGTGTCACAACCTTTGGAAAATCATAGATTCCTCATAGAAAATTTCGGCTACCTACAGGAGGCCAAGAGTTACGTTTTTGTTGATGAGGGTATGTTACATAATGAACTACAAACGGCCCCAGTACTCCATTACAGTTATGTTATTCGCATTCTAGTAAAGGTTATGTCTGTTCAATCTGAGTTCAGTGTATTATACAATCGACCTTCACATGGTTCAAATTCTCGCATTTTCCATAACTACGATTTTTTCAGAGATGTTATGAGATGGACTATAGTTTTCTTAATTGTAGTTTTATATCTAAGGCATCTTATTTTCGGGGTTTAATTTTATGCTTGAAAAATCGTAAAATAGCAACCCTCGATGATCACCACTGTCACAGTATATTATCAGTATAACTCTTTGTGGTGGACTATATAATATTTTAACAAGTTATAACACTTTCTTTTAATCCAAAAGTTAAGAAGAAAACATATCTCAAATGTTCTTATGTTAATATTTTAATTGTTAACATTCATTTTGCTTTGTACACTACATTTAACAAGTCACTGTCAGTTTGCATTCTCATACATTAACTGAATTAGACAGCTGTTGGGTCACTGATCTGTGTTGTACTGTACTGCCTAAGGTCAGGACTTTGTTCGTATGTTCGTTACATGTTTTCACATATCTGTCGAAGTCATATTCTATGTTCCTAAGTGTGCACATGTGATAGAAAAATACTACGCATTGTAATTTATCTTACTCCAATATGTAATTCGATTTCTGACATTTGTCGTTATAGAAAGTGATGCATTTCTAGACCCATTTGGAGAACTGGATGGATTCGACCCCGACGTGTATGACAGTTTAGAAACCTTTGAAGGTAGGTGAAGAAAGTACAAGATACTGTTGTGAAACCTAATTCTGCATTTTGTTGTTTCGCGGTTATCGTCCCTGTATTTTGACCGGAAATCACGTGATAGAGACGGCTGGGAACTTCCGAATAGGATTTGTAAAGGTCTAGTTTCTCAAGCTCATTTACTATAAGCATGGAAGATAAGAGAAAAGAAAATCGATTAATTATCTTTCGATGTATTTGATTCTGAAATCATAAAAAGAACAAAAAGTATTTGTGTGTTCGTTTTTATTCTTGTTATTAAGAATTTCAAAGTATGACATCAGAACTTTTTTTAAAGTAAGTGATATATGTTTAAGAAAAAAAGAGAAATTTGAGATCAACGGTATATATGATATTACTGAGCGATAGCTACATCCGTTATAATCACAATATATATAACTCAGGCAGTGTTGAACATTTTCATTGTGAATATTTCGTAAGATATTTACGGATTTCATTTCGATATAGATAGTCAATGGGAATGGATTACTGTTCATTTTCTTAGCACGGTAGAGTAAACGACTCTCGAAATTTACAGCGGAGACAATTGGAATCAGGGGCGATAATCCATGTTGTTTTATCTACTATCGGTATTAATCACACGATTTCCTTTTGTTAAACTTACAATTCGACGAAATATAGCCATGCCATATTTATAGTTGTTACTTACATGATGGTCTTGATATAGAACGAAGAATGATGTTTTGTTTGAATCTGAGATCATGAACTTCATCACTGAATATCTGAGGACATTCTTAGGATACAATGATGACAAATTTCACCTTCTAACCTTTGTTTATTATCCAAGTCATCACCATGTTGCTTGTTTAGAATGCCTGTGTTTCAGTCGTTATAATGTATCAAGCTCATTATATATTAAACTTCTGTTTTTGCAATGAAGTAATATACAAACATATTCTGGGTTATTGATAATGCTGAAACCCAATAGATGTTGGTGGTAACGACCGACATCTTGTTATCATTTCAAATTAACCGACAAATGTTGAAGCTTGATACATTTGTAATGAATTGTCTTGTTTCTTTTTAAACAACAAAGAATGAAATTTACATTTAAACTGTTTTTTTGAAATCTTATGTAAATGTATTCTATGCATATGATTGTATTGTTATGATGAAACAATTTCTTGAGTACGGCGATGTCGATCGTATGTGTGTTGATGTTACCTTTGTATTCATATCATATATGTGTGTTTGTCCTCCTTTGAAGTATCAAGTGATAAAATGATTGTTTATATATAAGTTCCTCTTCCATCCCATCAAAGACTTGAATATCGTTTCAAAGTATCAAATTTATAGGGCATCATCACATTGATTAATTAATTAATAGAGGGACTTCGTCACATTGTTCTATATATAGATACATATCAGATTTAGAGATAGAAATAACACGTTCGAGGTAACACCTGTCTACATAGGTATGGTTCTGTAATAGGTATATATTTGAGGTAACACCGGTCCACGTAGGTATGGTTCTGTAATAGGTATATATTTGAGGTAACACCGGTCTACATATGTATGGTACTGTAATAGGTATATATTTGAGGTAACACCTGTCTAGATAGGTATGGTCCTGTAATAGGTATATATTTGAGGTAACACCGGTCTACATATGTATGGTACTGTAATAGGTATATGTTTTAGGTGACACCGGTCTACATAGGTGTGTTATAGTAATAGTTATATATTTGAGGTAACAGCGGTCTACATAGGTATGGTTCTGTAATAGGTATATTTTTGAAGTAACACCGGTCTACTTAGGTATGGTACTGTAATAGGTATATATTTGAGGTAACACCTGTCTAGATAGGTATGGTCCTGTGATAGGTATATATTTGAGGTAACACCGGTCTACATATGTATGGTACTGTAATAGGTATATGTTTTAGGTGACACCGGTCTACATAGGTGTGTTATAGTAATAGGTATATATTTGAGGTAACACCGGTCTACATAGGTATGGTTCTGCAATAGGTATATTTTTGAAGTAACACCGGTCTACATAGGTATGGTTCTGTAATAGGTATTCATTTGAGGTAACACCGGTCCACGTAGGTATGGATCTGTAATAGGTATATATTTGAGGTAACACCGGCAATGAAATAACATCTTGAAGTGACTTTTTTGGCAACGTTAGGTGTGCTATTAGAATGATTTTGTGTTTGTATGCGACTTGCTGACAACCTTTGTGATGTGTTTGCACTCCTGTTTTCCTGTGTGGTTTTGTTAGCTGTTTTACTAGAGTTAGGCTCTCCTTTCTTTTTAGGGTGTGGAAATAGACCCATGGACATCGTGTTCCTTGTAGACACCTCGGATGCCTACGCTGATAACAATGAGACTTATCTCACTATCAGAGATTTTCTCATAAAATTCGTCAGATTCGCTAACGTAAGTTCCGATGTAACTCGAATATCCCTGGTGACATATAGCACGAGCCCTACAATCCACTTCCGGTTAGGAGAAATACCTACGTCACAAGGTGTTCAAGACGCTATCAGATCTGCAAGGTTTTCCCCAGGAGAAAGGAATTTAGCCGACGCCCTGGACGCTTTGAGACGGCGGGTGTTTTTTGAGTATTATGGCGACAGACCGCAGGTTCCGGACATAGTCGTTTTAATAACGACGGGAATGTCGAACAGGCGTACGACCCAGAGTTACCAGTACGCTCAGGCCCTGAAGGACATCGGTGTTAACGTCATCGGCATCACCTGGAGCGAGAGCGGAAGACAGGAGTTATCGTCCGTGGTATCAGAGCCGGCTTATACTAATCTTTTTGGTCTCGACTCCATTAGTGAACTCCACATAATGACAGAGCTGGTCGTGGCACAAGTTTGTGAAAGTGAGTTCAAAGTCTCATTCAGTATACATTAATGTTCACTAAATAGCGCCAAGCGATTTTGAACGTATTCCATTACAGTAGATACTCTCTAGGTATAACGTAGGTGTCTTCTAATCAACTTGGTTACAAAATTGCATCTTTCTTAAGTGGCTACCAGTTTCTGTTATTCTGATTAAAAGGTAACCCTTTAACAATAGTCCGTGAAAGGACTTCAATCTTTTCTTTGAATGCTGTATTAAAATCAAAAGATACTAAGTCGACAAACTTCTCAACTATATTAATACTGTTTGCATATCTCCTCTTTCTCTTCTGCTTTGGATGACCTCTTGAAATGATATATAAAAATGGAATGAATGATTTAAGCCTTAAAACATGAATTTTCTTTTCAATTGTCTAACTCTACTTAATTTCAGATTAATATTATTATAGTAGGCTGTGTTTTGAATATGTTAGCATAAGTAGAATGCGCATGCTCTTTGACATGTCACGGGGTTATTTTTCCAGGTTCGGAGGCTGCTTATCTTACACCCGTGGAAGGTTAGTCGACGAGACGGGTTCAAAGCGACGCTTTATTCACTCATGAATATTTTAATTGCATGAACCTGATACCTAATATGCGCACTGCGTCCAATGTTTATTTGTGTTTATAAATATATATTTATATCTATATTCCTCGTGTTTATGCACTTAAGAAATATAATTAATGATTTATCAAATATTGCGATGTTAAAACGATTTGGAAAGCATCGACTACAAGCATATTATAATATTGAGTAAACCGAACAGATTTTGCTTCGTTTGGCGACATCTAATTCCAATCAATTAAATTTGTTTATATTTACATTGTTTAAGACTAATTAACCTTGTCAAAAAAGCTCGTGCGTAATTTTCCAAGACTGACATTTTAGTTGATGGGTTATTACGTTGATTCTTGATATGTGGGGATGCTAAAGCACCAGCCTCGTTTTAACAACGATTCTATACTCTTTTCATAGCACATTGTATTTATAAAGCACACCCATATATACATCGACCTAAATGTTTTTTTACATCGCCAACACGTGCAAACTTTGGCCGAGTTGATGAAGTTGCAACAACCTTCGTTTTTTTCTAAAAAAAAAAACATCAGCCATATGTATCAAACAGAATCATCTCATCAGTTTAATGTTTTCTCTTTTTTTTTTTACTCTTCTGAATGCCTTTGATGTTGAAGTTGACTTAAACAGATTTCACCAAAATTTAGTGTTTACTATAACAGTGTATAAATTCAAAACTCGGCCAGTTGTTTGCATTTTATTTTGTGTTTGTTTTTCGTCCATTTGAATATATTCCTTTATCTATATAGCACAAATCAATGTATCTGTATTTAATGTTTTCATTGATATATCATATGTCTCTGTTTACTGGCAAACAGGGTAGGAAACGAAGAAACGTTAGGAAATTTAACATGACGATGTTGCCAAAGTTTGTACGGCTATCATAAAGTATTTTTCTACAATGAAACACGGAATAGATCACACTTTATTTTGAAACAGTGACCTTGAATAATTCATCTAACACTGTAAATTCATATTTTTCTGTTTTTGCCGAAATTGAGTATTTTTCAGTTAAAAACAAATTTTCGTTTACATTAAATTTCGCGGATAAATAGTATCAATAGTAACTAAGATATTGTTATTTTAAATTTAATGTTATTCCGTTATCGAGATGACCCACGAAATTAACTGAAATAAATCCGCAACGATCACATTAATATACGGTATAAATCGAATGTGATAATTATTATACATGATAGAATCATTTAAGGCTGATTTAGTTTATTTCATGATCATATACGTAAGTTAATATCATCGATTGATGTAGGTAATATGACGATATCATATTCAGTACATACTATCATTATCTAGTGATGTAAATTTGTAATAAGACACGTCGTTATACTTAAGTGTTTGCGAGTTAATGAAAACAACAAGGATTGGACAAATAAGCACACGCGATAAACAAATTTTAATAAAATTATCGATATGTCATCAGAATCTTCATTCAAACTCAAATCCAATGAAACTTCGACAAGATATAAATAAACAATTTATTTATTTGTTGATTTCAGTATCATCCACTAAGATAAATGTATCAGCAGTTTCGAAGGATCAAAATTTAGTATCGAATACGGTGTAGGACAAATAATGAACTTTAGGACGAAGTATTTCACGCGCGAGAAGCTAGGATAATCAGCTAATTTAAAGAAATGTTTACAACCGTTTTGATAAAAAAAATGTCTAGTACTGTGCTAATAAAGTTACTCTATAAGACGATGTAAAGATATTTTTTTCCATAACCTTACATAAAATGGTGTGATCACAATATACATTTGTATAGACATCTTCATATGAGTTGCCAAAGCGCGTGTTTTGCTGAAGCTATGATATCTACATATATTTTGTATGCTTCGATATCAGTACGGATGTGTACAGCTATGCTTTGATATCGCTGTATTCCTCTAGACATAGAATATTGTGCAGTCGTGTTTTAAAGTTATCTTAAAACTTTAAGTTCGTCATAAAAATGACATGTAATTAAATCATAAAATTTGTGTTCGCACGTTTTCATACACCTGTTAAGCTGGAATGGATAAGCTTGCTGACTCTAAATATAGAACGGAGGTCTAAAAAAACTTAACTATTTGATGTTATAAATATTTCATTATCTTTTCATTTGATAAATTGGAAGAAAAAAAACCATTAAGAAACTACCAACATGTCAATATAATCAAACTCCAAGCTCAAATTCAATAAAACTAGGGCAAACTATGAAAGAAAGATTTACACAGAGACAAGGAGAATAAGACCAGGTGTTCTAGAAGAGTAAGCGTCTTCTGAATTTCATTGACGACACACACCGTGTAATTCATGGTTTACCTGAGTATGTAATGTCACGTTCTCAAGTGAGAACAAGGTATACATCACGGGAACCAACAGGCAAATCAATGAATGTCAAACATGGCAGGGGTCATGTCGCAAAAAGAGATTAATAAGATAAAAATTTTCATGATCCTTAAAGTGTAAGAGGAGAACTATATAATCTATCTTTAAGACGCGTGTCAACGTTTTACTTTATATTCCAATTGGCCACAGGCTGAAATAACTTAGAAATATTGGCATTACTTACAAATAATTTACATATATACATACACATATAAAATAGGCACATACTTTGTAAATTTTATATACTGTTAATCCTAGTTATCTCGAACTCATATAACTCGAAGACCCCGTTTAATTCGAAATATTTCGTCGATCCTTGGTAAATATATATAACTATATATTAGAATATACTTAAATCGGATACTCGATTATCTCGATCCCAACCCCCACCCCCATCCCACCCCACAGCCATGCCTACTTCAAGATAACGAGGTTCGGTCAAATAATCTTTAAAATGGAGGTTACCATGTTGCAGTTGCAGATTCCATATATATACTCAATGGTACCGTGTGGTATAGGTTTGATAATTGCTTGTGTTGTATACATCTGTTCAAGTCGAACTCATTGTCTGGTGTTTTTATCTGTCACTATGTGGTATATCGATGTTCAGATTCTTACTTTGGTATAGTCTCGTCTATTCTGGTGCTACATGTACATCGAACTATGTAGGATACTGTTGGTTGAATGTTTAGGTATACTGATTTCTGTACTGATGGTTTTTGTTTCTTGCACGTGACATTACAGGTTTTATTTAACACATTTCCTCTACTTTGCCCTCCATTAATGTATATGTGTCTGTAAAACAGTCGATACTATTTTCTGTCGAGTCTCTGCAAGTCTCCTTCTTACCTGTAGTTCTGCACACTAAGTATCCGGTTTCTACTGGTTACTAAAGCATCTATACCATCAATGTTGTATATATCCCTCTAGTGTTATACACGTACAGTCTGTTATAAGTATATATTCCTCTAGTGTTATACACGTACAGTCTGTTATAAGTATGTATCCCTCTAGTGTTATACACGTACAGTCTATTCTGTTATAAGTATATATCCCTCTAGTGTTATACACGTACAGTCTATTCTGTTATAAGTATATATCCCTCTAGTGTTATACACGTACAGTCTATTCTGTTATAAGTATATATCCCTCTAGTGTTATACACGTACAGTCTATTCTGTTATAAGTATATATCCCTCTAGTGTTATACACGTACAGTCTGTTATAAGTATATATCCCTCTAGTGTTATACACGTACAGTCTATTCTGTTATAAGTATATCTCTCTCTAGTGTTATACACGTACAGTCTATTCTGTTATAAGTATATGTCCCTCTAGTGTTATACACGTACAATCTGTTATAAGTATATGTCCCTCTAGTGTTATACACGTACAGTCTATTCTGTTATAAGTATATCTCTCTCTAGTGTTATACACGTACAGTCTATTCTGTTATAAGTATGTATCTCTCTAGTGTTATACACGTACAGTCTATTCTGTTATAAGTATATGTCCCTCTAGTGTTATACACGTACAGTCTGTTATAAGTATATATCCCTCTAGTGTTATACACGTACAGTCTGTTATAAGTATATATCCCTCTAGTGTTATACACGTACAGTCTGTTATAAGTATATATCCCTCTAGTGTTATACACGTACAGTCTGTTATAAGTATATATCCCTCTAGTGTTATACACGTACAATCTGTTATAAGTATATGTCCCTCTAGTGTTATACAAGCACAGTCTATTCTGTTATAAGTATATATCCCTCTAGTGTTATACACGTACAGTCTGTTATAAGTATATGTCCCTCTAGTGTTATACACGTACAATCTGTTATAAGTATATGTCCCTCTAGTGTTATACAAGCACAGTCTATTCTGTTATAAGTATATCTCTCTCTAGTGTTATACACGTACAGTCTATTCTGTTATAAGTATATATCCCTCTAGTGTTATACACGTACAGTCTGTTATAAGTATGTATCTCTCTAGTGTTATACACGTACAGTCTGTTATAAGTATATCTCTCTCTAGTGTTATACACGTACAGTCTGTTATAAGTATATATCCCTCTAGTGTTATACACGTACAGTCTGTTATAAGTATGTATCTCTCTAGTGTTATACACGTACAGTCTGTTATAAGTATATCTCTCTCTAGTGTTATACACGTACAGTCTGTTATAAGTATATATCCCTCTAGTGTTATACACGTACAGTCTGTTATAAGTATATATCCCTCTAGTGTTATACACGTACAATCTGTTATAAGTATATCTCTCTCTAGTGTTATACACGTACAGTCTGTTATACGTATATGTCCCTCTAGTGTTATACACGTACAGTCTATTCTGTTATAAGTATATATCCCTCTAGTGTTATACACGTACAGTCTATTCTGTTATAAGTATGTATCTCTCTAGTGTTATACACGTACAGTCTGTTATAAGTATATATCCCTCTAGTGTTATACACGTACAGTCTGGACCATAGTAACGTATATGTGAACCGACAAGGTTAGTATCTGGTAATCGTCTCCCTTGTCCATTTCACATGTTTTAGTTAGTCATTGTAAATGGCCTCTAGAGCGCCGTACTGTCCACATAAGGTCCTGCATATGTGTATCCACTGTACACGTACAACCTAGAAACAATATACCAAAGTATATTGAAATAACGTTTGTCTAAAGCAACATTTATTTCAAAAGTTGGAAGTATGTGTTTTAAACTAAGAATAAGTTTCTATATTTCGAAATGTAACTTCGGTTTACCTTTAATTAAACAAAACTATTGATCAAAAGAGTATCTATAGATGACTTATATTGACTTGTAATGACAACACATGATTCCATCAGTGTATGTATAGATCAGGTGATGTAAAGATTTATGATAAGAAATTTTTTGTCAGTAATATTTGTTGGTAAGCGAGATTACGTCGCTTAACGTTGATTCTGGGTTATTTGTTTATTCTGTTATTTTGTTTTGGGCAGTAAGCATTGAACGCACTTTTCTTCATCATCAATACTTAAATGTATGTGTTTGATAAACTACTGAAAAAATTACAAAAAAAAAAAAAAAAAACAGAACAGAACAAAGCAAGGGAAAATGTTTAAAACAGAACAAATCAGGCACTTTGTCACTAATGAGGACTATGATATAAAGAAACCTGTGTATAAACACCATGTTAGGGACAGAGGTCAATAAGTAGTGTGACCAACACGAGTTCCATTTTCACCACCTTTGGTTTATCAATATGTAGGATTTATAATTCCAGATATGATATAACGATATCAGAGAATTCGACACTCTATCAAACTTACCTGATCTATCCTATATCATGTGTACACAGTACACATCAGGTAAGCATGGGATTTATCAGTGGTCTCGGTGACGATGTTAACAGCAAAATGTCGAACATATAATACTAATACCTTACAACATTTTTTTTTCAATAGTAATATGTACTATGAGGTAGTCTGTAAGCTAGATAAGACAGAAATTAAAAAAAACCCACATCATTAAAATAGAATATAAGATTTATTGTACAATGACTTGCCTCTCTTCGTTTTCAGAAGTTGTCTTTTGTTATTAATTCATTTGTTTTCAGCAATATCATCATATAGGTAATAATGGTTTTTATTATAAACAGGAAATGTATGTTATATTTTAAGATATATGAATATACACAGATATCATAACATTTATACATGTTTGCATTCATTGTTCGCGTTTGCTATCTGCCGTGAACATATATCAAAGTTCTCTTATAATTCAGTTTATTTTGTGACTAGCTTATCTGATTCCTATTAAATACTGCTTAGATAATCGATGCTGACTATGTTTACTGTTTAAGCAGCTACGTCGATTGTACAATTATCAATGTCGAATATCATATTAGAAACAATAACATGAAAAGGATTAATTATCAGTAATTTGATTATTTACATCATCCTAACATATCTCTTATACTTGCCAACACAGGTAGCGATGATATAGATCTCGTGTTCCTGGCCCACTTCTCGAGTCAGCTGACATCAGCGAACTTCGCCAAAATAACATCCTTTATGGCTGAACTTATCGAGGGAGCAGATGTGGACTTGGACTCCGTTAGAGTCGGTGTTGCCATCTACAGAGCAGAAGCCACGGTATTATTTAAGCTAGATGCTTACAGGGGAGACAAATCTGGACTTTTAGAAGCGATACGAAATATTAAGCCAGATTATAAATCTGGGGATACCAACTTGGCTGCTGGTTTAAATCTGGTTCGAAATGAGATGTTTGATGTGAGAAAAGGAGACCGAGAGGATGTACCCAATGGCATTGTCATCATTACAGACGCTAACTCCGATCCACAATACTACCCTGAATTAGAATATGCTGCCGCTCTCGTCAAAGACGCTGGAGTGACGGTGTTTGGAATTGGAATTGACTTGCAAAACACTGATGAGATGAACGTGGTATCGACGAATCCCCAAATGAGCTATGTCCTGGGAAATGTTGATCAACTTCCGAGTATGGTTCAGGAACTGCGACAAAGACTGCCTTCACGTAAGTGCTCTACTTCCAGCCGAAGCACGTGTCCCTTAGAACACTCTTACTCATTACTATTACGTGAGATTCACCTTGTCTCTACAACTCCTACCAACTATTATCACGTGAATGTCAACACACGTCCTAGATAAAATCCCGTAGACAACTCCCACTTGAGTGTCATCTTTCGCGACGATAGGTGTACTTAAATCATCCCCAAGGAACTAGTATCACGTGCGTGTCTTCTCCACAACACGTATCCTTAAGTAACCTCCTGGTCAAAGTGCCTTCCTCCCCTATAACGCTTGTCCTTAAATAATTTCCCTGGAACTTTTAATACATGAAGGTCCTCCTCCCGGTCATCACGTGTTCATTAGTGAACTCCCAGGAATTGCAATCACGTGAGTGTTTTTTTCCCAACAACACGTGTCTTTAAGTTATCCCACAATTTCAGTGTTCCTCCAAACAACACGTGTCCTTACGTTATCTCACAACTGCAGTGCCCCCCCCCCCCCAAAAAAAAAAAAAAAAAACACGTCTCCGAAAGTGAACTCCTAGCCACTAAGATCACATGAGTGTCTCTCCTTCAACACAGTCACACACATTTCATAAAAAAATGTTTCACAATAAGCATGCTTGTTTTACGAAACCTAGATATTAAACGGCTCAAATGTTTTACTGAATTATGAAGTTTATATGTTTTAACAACTAAAATATTGCTTTCTGTTTCAGTGACGTTTGTTTTACCCGAGGAGATAGAAACCTTAGCACCAACAACAAGAGCAACCCCCGCAGCAACTACAGGTACTGCTTTCCAAACTGTAACACATAAGTTCATGCCTAGCTCAACAAAACCAAGACTTCCTGTCACAAAAAAAATCACAAAAATACAAACATGTCAACATAATCATAATTCAAACTAAAATTCCGGCAAACTATGAACAAAAGAAAGAAAAAACACGATCGTCAAACACATCCAGCTTCATATAGGATATTTTCCATTGAGACACCATGCACAGATGCTCCTTTAAAAGATCTACGTCACATTACTTTGGTTCAGATATTACACTACCTAAAACATTTTAACACCAGTTATAGGGGTTTGTTTTACTGTATCCGGTTCGGATCTATGTCTAATAAATACCGTCATGAAGAAAGCCTCCAAGCTTCAGTCTACACAATTGTAACATGTAAATGTCCTTAACATTGATTTTCTGTTTTGATTATACTTTCAGTTTCGGAAATGATACTAATTATAGAAATACAAACGACTTTTAAATTTCACTCTATTAAATTTTCCTTCGTTATATTGCCACTCCATGCACATCATTATATAAGATGCTTCAATATTAATTAATTACCTTAATATTAACAGGGTAGACTTGTGAATGTTAAATTGTATATTTAGTCTCCGAAGTCATGATAACCCTTCTCATATACCTCTACACATGTATTTACATTTTTCAATTATCAATATTTCTGTTTTTTAACTGACTGAATTTCTTTCATTCCAATACAGTGCCGACAACCCCTGAAGCTACTACGTCATTGGAGAGTGAGTAATATCTAAATGCGCTCGCTTGCTTGTTGCAATCACGTGTTGGCACTATTTACTCATGGTAAACGACATTCACTATATACATTATATACATCAACATCAAAGATATCTAATACCCTACAGAACATTATCTCCGTATTCTCGGATTTTTGACGATATGTCTTCATTGATTTTCTTTAAACTTTTAGGGAAAAATCAGAATTATGTCGGTCTCCATTCATGGTATTTTTCTACATACGTGATAATCTTTAATTCTTTGTAGCTTTGCATTATTCACATAATCGTATGACGTTTCACACATAACCACATTACGTTTAACACATAACCACATGACGTTTCACGCATAACCATATGACGTTTCACACATAACCACATTACGTTTCACACATAACCACATGACGTTTCACGCATAACCATATGGTGTTTCACACATAACCATATGATGTTTCGCACATAAACGTACGACATTTTACAAATTACCGTACATGGTTGATACACGTTTATGTTTTTAGCAATTGGATGCTTCTCATAACGATACGTTTATCTACATCTCTACATTTATATGAATCATAACAAACATAATCGAAGTTCCTTCTACACATAAAATTTAACATTCCACACATTCAAATAGTATATGTTATTTCAGTTTATTGTGCACGCTAACTCTGTCTTTTTCACTTTTTCTTTATAATGACTTGTTTGCATTGTGTATGACGTTACTACTGATGTCTTTTGTGTTATAAGATAACGTGTTTGTGTTCTGATATGACGTCATTGTGTTGTTAGTGTTTGACGTCATATCTCGTAGCTGTCTCCAGTTCTAACTAACCACGCTATAACTTATATATTATGTAACAAAAGCGGAAAAATTATTTTTAAAAATTGAAATATTTTTTCATAAAATGTTAGGAAAATGTGATTAATTTTTTTCAGGATGATATTTATCTATTATTCAAACATGAAATTATAGTAGGACTAGATAAACGAAGGGCAGTCGTCATTCTACTAGCGGTAACTGTATAGCTATAATACTTTTTTTATTTGAACAATTTAATATTAATTAGTTTTTTAATAGTTGTTCTTAAGACATTTCCTGTTCCATGTCGACATTTTCATATCTCAAATTGTAATATCACCTACTTGTATACAATCATGATTCACAGGTTAAGAAAAACCTTTCTAAAACAAAGCATTCATTAATTGCTTAAGTGTTATCGCTTTTTTTTAAATAATCAGTTTTGAGTGGCTTCATTGCAAAGCAAATTTCTGTTTAAAATCATGTCGCTTTTCTCATTCATCGTTTCATGTTGCTTGTGTCCAGGATTCAATGTGTAAGCTGAGTTAATAATTTTTCTGCTGTAAAATATTCTTATGGTTGTGATTGATAGTAATTCTTACTGTAATTATATTTTGAAATGTAATGTATTCAGGTTAAAGGTCAGTTGTTAAGTATCCTATCTAATCCATGCACCTTGTTCCAGACGCACCCTATGGTTTGATAAATTGACGTATTTCTTTTCATCTATATTCCTTGATATTTACTTCTGGAATGGTATATTCTGTCTCAAGCGCACAGCAGTTCAACAGTTTGCATGGTTGATTCAACGGTAATAAACAAAGTTTGGGAACGAAACGCTTGCAAGTGTTATTGTGTTTTCAACACTGAAGTTTCCATTTGCATTAAAGGAAGAAGGAAGTCTCGCGAGAAATCATACGGGAAGCGAATAAAAATTCAAAATTGGAATTTTGTTGTATATTAATGAATGACAAGCTTGTTTAGTTTAAAGTAATCGGGACTTATTTTGAAACACATTTTATTTTGACTTTACAGATCAAATTTTTATACGTCATTATCGTGATACATTCAATTTTACAAAAACGGAGTAAAGGTTAGAACTTAAATCAAAACAAGCGAGAAAACATGAAACATTTCATATAGATTGGATTGAAATGGACTTCAAATTAACATAATCTTGTGCCTTGCTAAGAGATTGGCAGAGGTTTCCGACTCCTGATAAAAATGTGTGGGTGCACCATCGCTTTATTCTGAACCGCTTCCGTATCCCGGACCACCCAACAGCTTCCTTCTGTCTTGCCGATTGTATGATATAACGTTCTTTTCCACCTATTAACATCCACCAATCATAGCAGAGTCCTGTTCTGTTATGGGGAATGTTTTGCATCAGAGCATGGATCTCTCTAGCCATAGACACGCCCATCACCTTAGGCACGCCCACCATCTTTGAGTGACGTACCGAATCTTTCGACAGTCGCGCGGTATAGGTAAGACTCCCACCATCCATGTCCACACGTTTCGCTCTGTTTTGTGTGGACAATGCTTCGACGTTCAACGTAATGCATACGTTTGAAATTCATTTTACTATATCATGTCTTTTATTTTAAAAAAGCTAAATGTTGATAATAGATATCCACTGTCAATTATAACTATTAAAGCAATGTATAAACTGCAACATAAACGGATTTTCTATTGATATTAAAACATAATTAGACATTCTGGTGTTTATCAGTTATGCTTTTGTTTTTTACAGGTAGTCGAGAGGCAGATATTGCTGTGCTTTTCCACGTGGGACATAAAACAAAATTGAGAGATATGAACAAAAAATTGAAAATATACCTGTCGAACCTATTTGCGAAGGCTAAAGTCAGCCCGGATATGCTCCGAGTGGCACTTGTAAATTATGGAACAGCAACGAACGTGCTGTTTGATTTCAATACCCATACAAGAAAACCTCAGGTTCGAAGTGCTATTAAAACCACAATAAAGGGTAATCTACGGAAAAGTCGGGCGAATTTAGGTGAAGCTTTAAATGAATTAAGAACAGAGTTATTTGTGCAGAGCGCTGGTTCTCGGATACATGAAGGAGTACCTGCGGGATTGATTCTCGTGACAGACATGGTGTCATCGAATGATGGATATGACTATGAGCAGGAGATGACGCTACTCAAAGAGATGGGAGTGACGGTGTTTGGAGTTGGCATTGGTTCAAATGACGTCCATGACGAGTTACGACAGTTGACATCAGATCCGGCAATCGATTATTTTCAAGCCTTTCGGACATTTGATGACCTTCTAGCGGATGCTGCACCGGTTAAAAACATAGTCAGTCGTGTTAGAGCTAGTAAGTAATATCACAACGTGAGGACCATCCATCTGTTACCTTGGACAGTTTGATAAGGATGCTGTTTCAGGATAAGAAAGTCATTTGTCAAAATTGGATAATAATCCTCAGAAAGGTTATAAAACTTCGGTTATTAAACACAAAGGGAAAAAATTGTAAATATAAAAGAATTTTCATTGTCTGTTGATGATCCGATAAAGCATCTTAAGGTATTTAATCTAAACCGCCTCGCTAAATGATAATTTTAACCGCTTGTGAAAGTGTCTACTTTCTTCAGCCTTGTATCGCATGAAAAACAAAGCAGAAATTGAACGCGATTTTAAGACATAGAATATAGTGGTCACTCATTGAAACTAATAAAAAGTGCTATTTATAACTCTATACGTACGTTATGAATAGTGGGAGGAAAGCTTAAGCAGCGTCCCCCGACTCCGGCTCTAAGCAGTGAGTAAATCTATGCATGCCTACCATTACTGATACCGCTCTTTGTTGTATGCATGGTATTTATTTATTATTTATTTTCGATATGTTTTTGTCTGTTGCCATCATTTTTTTTCTATTTTGTTGCCATGTTGCCGTGTAGATATAGCATACAAACGCATGCGTAGTTCCAGTATCTTTTCCCCTTTAATTGCCAGAATTGTGATCTGTTTCATAGGACAAAAAGTCAATCTAAATTTGCCTTTTTGATTTTTTTAATTTTCTAGTAGATGTGTGTAGCTTTCAAATAGCAGACTTAATTTTTTATTCGCTATTCCTATACATTTTGTTCTATTTTGTTATTCCTATTTAATTAATTGTATAATTTTTGTTCTAGTTTGCATTTAAAGGATTGAAATATCTAATATTCTCATTATAAAAAAGACGGAATTATATTAAGCGTTCTGATTTTATTTTTGAAAAAATAAATCTGTAGCAAAGTTAGCACATATTTCTTACTCGGCCTGAAGCAATTCTATAGTGATCGTCTTTGTGAATGCTCATTTCCCTTTTTAATGTTGTCAGGTATACTTCAAATTACATTTTTGAATTTCTTTTGTTTGTTTTATTATTTTTTGAAATAATTAAATTTCAAATAACTGTTTTCATGGAATTAATTGTGTTCTTATTAAACTTATATCCTTCGTAACATCATAATTGTATTATCAATTAGCTATGTCATGTAATAAAGTGCTATCAAATTATAGTGACCAAGACATATCACGCTAAGTAGTAATACAATAAAGTTATTTGTTTTAAAATCTTACTCTAGCTTGCATCTACCCTTTTATGTTAAATTCGTTTCATGTCATGTTTACTCATTTAATGCTTTCATTTTCTTGTTCATTTTTTTCATTTCTGCTTAGAAAAAAACGTCAGATTCTTGTTATCTCAATAAACAAAAGATATATATGTACCTTCTAAAAGATAAAATATAATTTGTCCTCTTGACAAAAAATGTGAGCATGCTAGATATTGCATGAATGGCAGCAGGAAAAATGAATGAGTTAAAAAAAAAAAAAAAACGCAATGAAGACAATTTTGTTTCAGAGTATAGAAAATTTCAAATTGCCATTGTTTTTCGATCTGGATACACAACATCTCCAAGTGATTACTATACTCATCTGTTACCATTCATGGCACGATTTCTGGACGAGAAGCTGATGCAGAACACTAAAATCGAAATTGCTTTTATAAATTATGGTGCTACCGTGCACCAACTATTTGGGTTCAATGAAATCACAAGCCTCGAAGAAATGCAGACAATGATTTTAACTGCACCGGAAAAACTCAGGTCGAAGTTTGCTAGATTTGGAGATGTTTTACAACATCTTGATCTGAAAGTATTTGACACTGTGTCAATAGATACATCAAAACATATCGTATTTATAACCGACAAAGTTTACGATTGGATGAATTTGAAAGTGAAGAACGGATTGCATAGGTTGATAAGGAAAGGGATAAAGTATCATTGGGTGTTGATTGGTGGAGGCAGTAACGTTACTACCCCTGGTGATACCTACCTAGTACCTGACTACCCAAGCATTTCTCAAAACTATGACGTCATTAATGACATCATCACAGATATTGCTCTTGGTGAGTACATTTTGTATAATTTACCTATTAATAACGGTAGATAAGATATTTGGTTTAAGATGATGATAATTAAGGATATTTGGTTTTGTTTGTTCAAAGAAAATTTCATAAACTGAAAACTACAGGACAATATATCTTTCTTAAGTACTTCCAAAACTGTTGCTGTCAACTATATTCTAAAAATGTTTATTCCATATATTGAATAATCCTACACTTAGGAATTATAATGAAGTCGATCAGTTGTACTTTGCCAAATGTCCAGCATATGTTTGACATAATTTTCAATATCAATGTGTTTACTCTTTTCAGATGATAGCGAGTATTCCGAAGCGATGGTTCCAGAATCTGCATCATTGATAGATAAAACAGGAAATTTACGAAGTATATATTTAGTTTACACTTATGCACTTTATATATAGTTTAGTTGTTTTAATCTTTAATTCATCTAGCCTTGATGATTTATTTTAAACTGAATTAACATTACGAATGTCACGATATCATCTAAATGATAACAATGTTTTTACATTACCAGTGTATTCTTATAATATTTTGCAATATACATCATTGATGAAATTCAATTATTACATAACTATTGGAATATGAATATATTGATATATCTAGGGTGAAATGTGTATTACATTACCTGTGTAATATTTTGCGCAATAACTGTATTATATTTCTTGAAAGTCATATTATGATACGTATGTAATTTAAATAATATCATTATTTGTTTAGAATAAATGGTATACATTATTTGTGTAATCTATATGATAACATGTAATGTAGATATCGATAAGTTGCTTGTGTAATTTAGATAATATTACGTTGTTGTATGATTAAAATTATGGACTTGATCCTTTTAATATACGTCTTGGCGCCCATGGAATTCCATCGATATGAAATAATGTAAGTCTTCATATATTGACAGAATCACAGCCAACTAAGATCATCATAGCATTCCGTTCAGGAAGCACCACCTCCCCACCCGAATTCTTTACAAAACTATTACCCTTCATCAGTGCGTTCATTGACCGGAGCATTCTGTCTGAAACAAATACGGACATCGCAGTGGTCAACTACGGGAAGGCTGTCCAGCTCGTCTTTGGATTCGAGCAGTTAAGTTTTGATCAGATGACGGACGCCGTAAGTGGAGTATCAAAGAAATATCGAAGTAAATTCTCTCGGTTTCCGTTGGTGATTGATTACATAAATCAGGAGATGTTTGTTCCACCAGCAGTGACTGAGACAGACGACAGGCACGTGGTGTTTATCGCAGATCAACTGTACGAAAAGTTAGATTCAGGAATTAGAAAGGGGATAGAACATCTAGAGACCAGAGGAATCCACACGCATTGGGTCTTAATAGGCGATAACAGGGCTATTCCTACAACAAGTGCAGCTTATAAAGTTGCCGACTATGATGAACTATTTCAACGCCGTGATATAGCCGCTGAAATCCTTTCGGACATTACAAAGGGTAAGAAAATCTCATAAATCTCATATCCAAGATATTGTGTTAACATTAATGCACAATTCTAAACTAGGAAAGGAGTCTAGTAAGAAAGCAAGTCTCATTATATAGTCTATGGCGCAAAAGCAGAAAAGGATTTTATTGCATTTTAGCAGTGAACTACAGTTTTTATATAAACCCTCAACTTTTGATATTTTCATTCATTTTGGCGGTTAAGTTAAAAGTATATGCCATGAAAATACCAATTTGAAGAAAAAAAAACATTGGTAAAGATTGTAAAAACATATAAATCTGAAATGGGAGGAACATTTAACGTATTGTATTAATACTTGTCAATATGAATCTGGTAATGAGTGTTGAATTTTTTTCCTTATTTTGAAATATTTGAAGACTTGTACCTTGGTAGTGAAATATCTCTGTATTATCAGATGGATAAACGAGCAAGCAAATCAGGTTGCAAATTCAAACTCTAACGTAGCATCAATGAACAGCACAGAAAGATAAATATAAATATTTCTGTTGAGCAATAGTTGTATTTCTTCTAATAAGATGAAAATTTTCACTTTTCTGCTACATTCGATGACATATAACTGTTGTCAGGGAACAAAAATAGTTTCTATGTACTTAAAAAAACACAAGTAGAGTTATTATTTTTGATCTAATAACTTTACCAGGATACAATTTATTTATCCTTAATAAGTTTTGTGATATTTAACATCGACCTTTGTTTTATTCAGTGAATATCTCTATCACAGTTTTGTTTTCGTAACTGGATGGCTTCACGGTTGTATTTCATATATATTAACATATTCATGGTTTTGGGGTATATTCAGTACTCCTGAACTGTTGACATTGTGTACATCATAGGTGATGATAAGTTTATCTCGGTATATGTTACATGCGTTATGGAAAGGTCGTTATTCATCATATAATATCCAAACATGTTTTATATATCCCCAGGAAAAACATATAAAGAAGAAATCAATGTGATTCCTACGATACCGGAAGTGACGACACCTTTATTAAACATAGAACGTGGTAAGTGCTTGTTGCAATTAAAGTGAAAGATGTGAATTCAACCTTAAAATACTCAACTCTTAACACAGTTTTTTAGTTTATTTGGTTCAGTCTCACATTCTGATCAAGCATGTGGCATATATGATATTGTGCATAAGGGTCAATCTCATTTGTTTTGTTTGAGATTAAAGTTACATTATTAGATTTACATTCAGTCGGTGAAACAAAGTTAATCGATCAGTTCTATGATGAATTACAGACACCACGTTTGAGGACAACAGTGAAACACACCCTAACAAGGTACCTAATACTGCTGTCACAGAATCAACAACAGGTATGCCAGTTATATCTTACTCAAGTGGAAGCAAATTTGTACTTTATACCATGCTTGAAATGAAAACGTTATTGGAGATGCGGAGATTTATGAAAAAGCTATACTGTAAAGACAGTGCAGGCCCTTTGTTAAATACAAACACTAAGTAAAGTCACATAAGTTTGATCGTTTTGGGAATATAACATATCGCTTCAATAACGTTTGTTTAAAACTCAAGTTCATGTCATGACAACTTACTATACAACAGAAACGAGGTTTCCATGGTAGCACTTCAGCAGAGCCTTTTAGATCCGAATATGTTCTGTATGAGAACCTCTTTACTCGGACAATACTTTATCATGTTAGCAATTGATATCATACATGTTTAAATTCACGACTTGCTGCAGTAAAGCATAAAGAAACAAAAGAGATATAAATTTAATTTTGACGGATTTCAAACATTTATCAAATAATTCTGAAATTCTTGACTTTTTTCTCAGGTGAACGAAACGTCAAAGTAGTAATAGTATTCCGTGCCGGAAGTGCAACATCTCCACAAGACTTCTA